TCCCTAAGCCCCTTGAAGAGACCTAAGTCCAGTTGCCCTTGAAGTCTGTTGACTCTTATCTGGCATAACCGTTAGTAGAACATTATGTATAAATTGCATGGAATAAATGCTTTTGAACTCTACCCTAGCCCCTGCTTTCTTGTGTCGGATAGCAGGAGGTGAAAATAAGAGGGTAAACCAGAAAGTTTTTGAAGAAAAAAGCTTTGAAAATTCCAACTTTTCGCTGTATGAGCTCATCCTGCTACTGAATAGAACTGATAATATTCTGTGCAGGAGTATAATTAAGCAGCATCGTCATTAATAGGCAATGCTTATCTGCTACAGCCCACATTGCTTCAATTTTGGGAATGTTCCTTCCATTCCTATTAGGTTATTTGAACCTGTTTTGACAAAGTAATATTGATCTCAGGGATGTAATTCCTGACAATGAGGATCAGAATGTTAGAAATTCTGCATATAATATGTATATATTCAATTGATATGCCTAGTATTCATTTTTTATGCAAGCATATTGTTGCCTATGCCCTTAGAGTCAAATAACATATTACAAAGAAAACTTTAAAATCCTCCATTGATAATAATTGTAACCAGTAGTGTGTAGGAGCTAGCTTGTATCGGTTAGCAATAGCTGACTGTTAAATTGGCGATTGTTAAATTCTGGATGTTTGCAAGCCCATTGAGAATAGAACTGAATCATGATGCCTAGTACATTGATCAGCTGTTTGATGGCAGAATTGGTTATTAAACATTTACCAGCTTACCCCTGACAGTAATCTTCACTTTCTGATGTGACTGTACTGAACAAATCTAGGCATTGTCCAGTAGAGGCCACCATAACTTATCATATACAATAAGGAGAAATATGTAATTCTTTCGTAGTGTAGATCAGGAGTCTAAAGAGAACAGGTCTTTTTGATATTAACATTGTTTTGTTTGCAAAACTCCTTTTCAGGCAAGAATATAGAGTTCTTGAGAGCCTGAAGGATTTCAGATTGAACTTCAAGCAAGGAATCTTTGAAAAGAGTTAATACACATTGTGTAAAGCACAGAAGCAAAGGAGTTCTCCAAAGTTAATGACTGGGTATTAAAAGTTAATATTAGGTTATATCTTACAATGAGAAGTATTCATGACTTGATGTGTATTTTAACTACATTTGTCCAATCACTGACCTATTAAGGAATCTATATTTTGGTGGTAACATTAATGCAACAACATAATGGCTGTATAAGCAGACCTGGGTTAATGAAGGCTCTCTGGGCTAATGAGACAGATATTCCCTTTTTTCTTTTTATCTTTTAAAAGTCTATTTCATTCACTTCAAACCAAGATGGATGGCAAATAAAGTTAACAACATAAACAACAATAATTTCCAACCTCATCCTGAACTAACAGCTTGAAGAGGCAGTGACCATTAGGATCTTTGCACAGCTCCATCTTGTATATCAGATTGTTGGAAGTTAAAACCCACCCCTCTCCTAGAAAAATTAAAGATTTTGGGATATACTAAAAATCCAGAATATTTCCCCTAAAAGAGAAGTAGAAGCTCAGAGAGGCAGAAACTCAGCCTCCCATCTTTGTTAATGGGCCATTAAGGCCTGGGCCAGTCTATTCTACATAAGATTTATCTCCTTCAGGCAGAGCCATTGAATTGCCCTTCATTGTATCATCCACCAAGTTTCAACCAAGTTTAGCACACGACCTACAAAGCTAGCTATGACCTCTGATAGCAACCAATCAGGATGCTCTTCCTGTGCCGCAGAAAGTTCAAAGCCAGAGAGAGTATAAAACCAAGGGACTCTCAGCACCCCTTCCCCTTTTCTTCGCCCTAAGACCTCCATGGCATGTGATCCTGTTCATCAACAAACCTTCTTTCCAAGCAACTTCCATGATTCCAGTGTCTTTTTCCCCACTTTGAACTGAACTCAGAAGGATATTTCTTCCAACAAGTTGTACCCATTTCTAGAATGGGAGGCCCTTCAAGATGCTCATGCATGTTCAGTTACCTCATGGTCAGACTATTGAATTTCATTCTGCTTGGGGCTGCCCTTGAACATCACCTGGATGCTACAGGCTGGTCCAAAATGTAGTGTCAAAGGCAGTGATAAGTGCATCTCGGTACATCCACGTGTGTAAGTGCTTTGCATGTTCCAATAGTTCCTAGTTTTCTGCAAAGTGCTGTTTGAAATACAACCTTGACATTAAGGAATGTCACTTTGAAAACACACATTTTTGTTGTTGTGGTACTTGCCCTCTGGAATACTATCAGTCCAGACTCCAGACATTTAAAAATCCTCCAAGAGTTTCACAAGGTCTTGAAAAGTGGCTGTGCTCTCTGGTCTAGATTAGGTTCATTAGGTTCAGGAGCTCCTGAAAGATATTTTGTAATGCAATGTGAGTTTTATTTGGGCACACATGTTCTTTTCTTTTTAATTGTTTCCCCTCTTTCGATTACGTAAGCTGCTTACTTAATCCACACTTGCACACAACATACCCTCACTTGGGAGTTGAATAGTTTTCTAAATCCAATACAATAAAAGAATAACTAAAATTTGGACAAAAGGGTACACCCAAAAGCTTGCTGCAACACTTTCACAAAATGGCCACCATGATGAACTTGGTTAATTACAAAAGACCTGTTCAAGCTAAAGTGATGTGGGGATGTTGTTCCCCATTATACTCACCATGCTATGTTTCTTTGCAGGTTACCATTCTAAAAACCAAAGTCAGATCTGTAATGATATGGGGTAGTTGGGCACATTGCAGACAGTATCAGTTGCAGTTATTTGCCATTTGATTTTTTTGTAATCTATTACAACTCATAATGGACTCAGCTTGTCTAGTGGTTAACGTACCAGGCTAGAAACCAGGAGACTTGTGAGTTCCAGGCATGAAAGTTGGCTGAGTGACCTTCGGCCAATCACTCTCTCAGCCACACTCCACTCACAGCACTGTTATTGTGGGGAAAATAGGAGGCAGCAGGGGTATCAGGTATTTCAATGCCTTGAGGCATTTATAAAAATAATAAAGGGCAGGATGTAAATAAAAAATAGTAAAATAAAGGTATTCTTAAAATTCATCCTGCAGTATGCTCTTTTATTCTGAAAAACTCTTATGAATGAACTCAGTGAGGAAGGCAGCACCCCAAGGGATTTATTTATTTTATTTCCAGTATTGGTATACTGACAAATTATAGAGACTAGGCTTTTCTAGAAGTTTATACTCACAGTGGAAATAAATATACATTTATGTGTCTGTATCTGGGATTGTCCAAAATGCCTCATTTGAGTCCCTTCTATTTTTTGTGCTGATGGTGGGTGTCAAAAAAGCATAGAACTGGAAAATTATTCAATTTCTCCAACAGTAAGTGAATCTTACTTTACTGAAACTGAACAATATTTCAATAACTTTTTTAAAAAGATAAATATTTGTCCTTGAAGAAATGCTATGCCTTAAATCAAGATCAGAGAACAATTCAGGGAGTAAAATACTTTGTTGCAGTGTCTTATCCGTATATACGGAGAAGACATGCTATCTTGACTTCCGGGGGAAGAAACGGCAAACAGAAGAAAAGCGCTCGCAGTTTTTCCGTGCCCACCTCCATCTGACATTATCTTCCTCAGACGCGCATGAGATTGTTTTTCGTTCCGACGAGTAGTTCACATTTCAGGCACGGGGTGGCGCTAGACCTCGCTCCTGGCTGAAGAAACTGCGGTGCATTTTTCCTGCTTCTTTTTAAATTACTGCGGAAAGAGAGGGGAGGGGGAGGGAGCAACCACTAATGAAAAGGCAGATTCCGTGACAACTTGTTTTGATGCCTGCCATCCATCACACGTGCCAGGGTATTCAAGGTGCTTAAAGAAAATATTTCCTATTAGTACATATCTATCTATCTATCTATCTATCTATCTATCTATCTATCTATCTAT